GTCGGACAGCTGATCAAAAAGTCGTCCTCTCCCATTTGTTGTACTTCTACGCTGCCTTCCTGCATTCCTTCCTTCTCCCTTTCACGGTCCCTTTTGAACACAGCGCCTATGTCGATAACTGCGATGCCATCATTCTTCTTTGGCCAGTTGTCTTGGAGTCGGGGCCGGGAATAATTCGGCAGCATTTGACGGAAAAATGCTGCGTCAACTCCCACTTGACCATTGATTTTCACTTCGACAGCAGTGCCGTTTTTCATGAAGAAAGCGCTTCCGTCACAGTATTGGATGTGTGTCCCTGCCAGGTCACGGAATTTCTGACCTCTTTTTACCAGTTCTTTGCGGACCGCATCACAATCTGGATGATGGTGGAGGGGGAAGGCTTGGAGAGCCTCGATTGGCTTTGATCCCCGGAATTTCGTGACCCCGAGAAAGATGCCGGCTTCGCCAAACTTCTGTCCATCATAGTCGAGGTACCGGCATTCAAGTCTATAATACGTGACGTCGTCTTCGGTCGTCTCTTCGCCCGCATCGAATATAACACATCGCGGCTCTCCTGTTCCGAAGCACCTGCCATACACGTGGGAACCAGGCTTGAAAAGTGCCCAAAGAAGGTCGTACGTGATATGGCCATGCTGTAGCATGGAATAAAGACGTTGTGAGGTCGCCGCATATGTATGCTTGAGGTGGTCGATGAGCAAGCGGAGATCCTTCACTTGTGCAGATCCACGGTCCGGATCGTTGTTCATGGTCTCCGCATATTTTTCCAGTTCTGGGAGGAAATGGAATAGCACATGTTGCTCGATCTAACCTCAAGTCAGCATTCTCCTTAAAGGGAATATCAGTTTCAATTACCGATGGCTTATCTTCCATCAGGCTAACGGCCTTGATGTCGTGCAGCACCTCACGCAGGATGTCGCGCAAGCCTTCCGATTTGACATCTACGTATGACATCACCTCCTCGGACTTCCGGTCTAATCCGATCATTAGTAGACTTTCGGGTCTGTATCCAAAGGTATCACCTACCAACACGTTCACGGACAACGAACACATACTCGGTATAGTCGTCCGGATCAGTGCAGTTCTCCGTCGGCTCGGCTATCTTATATTTACAAGCCTCTTTGTCCCAGCTGTACCTGTGTCAGCAATTCCCGAATAAAAAAGGGTCTAATGGCAAGCTCATACGTTTCCACGACTGTTTTGAATTGGGATGATGATGCCCATTTCTCAAACGATTTGAAATCATCTGGAGTAGTACAGATTTGACGATTGAGATCAATTTCATCTGCCCCCTGAACAACCTCTTCCTGTTCATTGTTGGCACAGCAAGACTGAGCAGGATTAGTTGCCATGGAGAGCTCAGCTGAAGCACATTCCAGCAACTGCCGAACCATGTCGGGGTCTGGTGGGGACTGGCCTTGGGAGGCAGGAGTGTTTGGAGGTTCTTGATTGGTAAGATCGAGCAGCACCTTTTCAAGAAAAATGCCAAAGAGATGCTTCAGATCCTTCACGATAGCTGGAGGAGTAGCTCTCCCCTTCGTCGGGCTATCCGGGGGCGTCAACCCTTGGTGGCAGGGAGAGGAAGTCTTCAATGCCATGTTGTGCAACTGAGAAATATGGGTGCGGTATGGGAAGCTGGTATGAAATGTACAAGAGACTGGAGTGCTAATGATGAACAGAAAGGTCGATGAGAGCCCGAGGAATGGCTTCTTCTTATATGTTCGTAACCCTGGTCATCCATGCCTGTGTCTCACTATCTGTTCTGGATAAAATATCTCATTTCCTATCCTTGTAGATTAGTGCATGCAGCAATGTCCATGAACTGGGCGGCTCCCTCCTCGCTCAGAATGGCTAGACATGCCTATACAGGAATTTACGAAGATCCCACGCTGATTTGAGAGCAACTTGCATGAACTTGTATGTATGTTGCAGGGGAATGATTCGACTGAGCTTGGGGAAATCGAAGCCACCCAATTTGGTCTCGTCGACTAGTTTCCAGAGCGGCTGTAGCTTTCTGTATGCCCCCAATGCAAGTGGTTTTCACTCATCTATGTTGTTCAGGAATGGTATGCTCTCTCAGCCACCAAGCATTTTCACCATAACAACTACCAGTACCAGCTGCAACGACAATATCGGAGTCGCAGCTGAGCAACAAGTTAATTATGGGCTCACTGAAAGTCACGTGGATATCAAAAAAAACTACCGATATCGACCGATTTTTACCGATTTTACTAGTTATTCTCCTAAATCAAAGATATTTCTTGTCAATTTCCAACGTTTTTTATCTCTTTCTTCCGATGGAAATACTCGGTACATATCCTCTACATTTGGTTTCTGTGGTTGCGAGACAACGCAATGCCCGTTTCTGTACAAGTCCTGGGACGCGCCTCGAATAAATATAGCCAGGAAGATTGATAATTCCAATAAGAGCATTGAAAGGGCTTCCCCATTAAAATGACAATGTGGCTGCAACGTATGTGCATACTCGAAACCAGTCATAAATTCTTCCTGAGTCTCCTCTCGTCCAGAGCTCCAGTTGATTTGTTGGTCCAATGAGAATATCCTAGTTGCGCATAGAATATTTGATAGCCAACTGGCAGCGAATGCTCCCGCAGGCGGGGTAAAAGTCGACCGTGCTTCGCTGTCCAAGTCAGAAATCTACTCAGACGCAAGCAAACCCCTCATCTCCCTTTTTTTGCACATGCTACACAGAGGTTGTCTCAGCACAAATTTTAAGGCCGGATAGTGAGCCGCGTTTTTTAGGATATTCTAGCCCTCTTCCCGCTCCAAGTAGACTCTCCACTGCCTCACCACAAAAATCGCTCATTCGATTTAGTGACCTCAAGGGTGTAGGAAAAGCCACAAACCCTTCTCTCAAGCTACACTGACCAGAATAATAGATCCACGCTGTTTCCCCACATCACCGGAGATGGCCGAGCAGTCTTCATCAGAGAAACCCGCTGTTAAGGAGGCAGAATATAGTATTGGAGGCAGTCTTAAGACGTTTCAACAGCTCAGCTCATCGGGAGGAGCGGCACGAAAGAAGAGGCAGGATAATCACAAGGAAAGGATCATGGGAGCTTTAGGCGACGCAATCCAGGAGCAGTTTTCGAAAGAGGAAGGGAAGGAGAAACAAATTCATTCAGACAATTAGTCTGTACGGTGTTCAAAGGCGTGCCGAAGGTCTTTGTCGTATTTCTCTTTGTCCGCGAGCTTGCGACCCGCGATACCTCCCACGTTCTTCTCGAAGAAGAAAGGCATGACCACACCAAACTCTTCATCGTAATTCTTACAAAATAAAGGCTTGATATGGTTGCTGAAGATAGTGAACACCCCCGAGGGACTTGAGATCCCCATTGTGTACCAGAATGCACCCGATTCCCACGTACGATTCATAATCTCCGAGAGACGCAACGGTGTAGATCCATCATCCATCTTGCGGTGAGGCAATTCCTCCTCAGTGACCAAAGCCTCCATAAATTGTCGACGGATAAGATCGTATTCCGCAGGAACAATCTCATCCACACCTTTGTCCGTAAGCCAAAAGGGAGGCATCATCATTTCGATTGGCCGGGAGCAGGCCCATTCAAGGTCCACGAGACATTTTATATGCCATTGTGCATCGACAAAGATGTTGCTTTGATGGAGGTCGGTGAAACAAAGAACAAATGGGCCTCTTCGAAAACTCCGGTTGAAAATCGACTGAAAAACTGTTCGCATGGCAGTTAACACAGAGAGCTGGTAAGCACAGTCTCCGAGATTATTAACAGCATTTGGTTGCTGGCGAAATCGGTTGTCATGAGCTCCCAACATATCAATCACGTATGAGTCAACGGTTGAGTAGGTATAATCACGGGATATATCGGTGGATATCCCTTCATTCTCCAGCTGCTGTATTTCAACTGAAAGAGGTCGATTTGCAAGATGTAAAAACCCGTAGTTGTCGATTGTTAACGAGCCAATTCTGGGAAGCGGAGATCGAGAGAGACTCAGAAAAATTCGAGAAAGATCACGGAAAAGGTTTGTTCGTAGCTTCCGGTCATGTCGCCCTTCCTTCCACGTATTGGAGAGCATTACTCCTCTTGTTTCGTCGACAAATTCAACCAGAATGTAGCCCATATCGGCCAGCCCGCCAATGGACATGGCGTTGCTGTACTGATGACGGGTATAATTTGATGGGGCAGGTTTCCCTAGCCATGATAAAACTTTCCGGCGCATGAGCCAGAGATAGCGAGAGAATAAAGGCATACATCGGAGAAGAGTAAACTGACGAGTATTAGTAGGCTTTCCTGGACACCGGGATTTATTAGCTACATACCACTTCTCCGGATGACAAAGAAAAGCCATAAAGCTGGGGTATTGGTATTTCCGAACAATTCTCTTGGAGCCAGGCATAGGTCCCCACTTCGCACCGGATTTTCTCGTCGCTGTTACCAGGATTGAAGGTCTCGCCTACACGGTAAGGCAGAGGGAATCGAAGAAGAACTCGCTTGTTTTGCCGGTTGTGAATAGTTACCGGTACACAAACATTGAAGCTACCGTGAAGCCAATCTTCAACATCCGAAACTTCGCATGCAGCGGGTGAACTCAAGTTGAGATGGTGGGCGACGACTGCCTTCATCCAATCACTTTTGTCGCGAAGGTGAGCGAAAAATTGAGCCTGTTGGGCATAATAATCAAGTTGGTGGAGCATGTTGAATTCATCATCTTTCACATCTGAGTACGTGACTTCTCGTCGAAGAAGACGTCGTTTCTTGGGCATGGCGTCAAATACTAAATCTCTTTGTTTACCCAGATAAATTATTATTCAGGGGCTGACAGTCTTTCCAACGTAATATCACATGATATACGCGGCCGCGTGATATGTCACGTGATTTTATATTTCCATCGATTCCGATCGATTTCCGCCGATAACCCACTACATTAGAAAGTTTTCCATCGATTTTGTCTAAATCTCAGTAGTACTTCGCTGCAACTCACCCATTTTTTTGCTATCAAACAAGATGGCCCGATCGTCTCAGCATGTTGCAAGTCGCCCAAAGTCACTGACAGTGAATGAGGCTATTCTTAAGCTCCAGGACGTTTCGGAGCTTGTGCGAAAAAGGGGGGATTTCAAAGCTACGGAAGCAAAGCGTGTGAAGGGTGCTTTCAGTCACCTCAACGCCACAGCTACTGACGAAGAACCGCCACGACAGCAGCATTATGTGAAGTTTCTTCGAAGACTGAAAGATGTCGCAGGGGCTGCTATGGTTGCCTTGAGTGCTGCAAGTCTCGGACAGGCTGCTGTATACTCCATGACCGATCGGGTCAGGACAGAGCTGCCATTCAAAATATTAGAGCGCAGGGGTGGTCTCCAGAACGCGGTGATTGAGTCTCTTGCGACCAAATATGCGAGTTCCACTGAGCCCTGTCCTAGCCAAGTCGTACACGTTGCCGGTCATATCTCGTCGGAAGTTGGTGAGTGTTCTTGATGGCTATTGCAATATGTGCAAATGTAATAGTGCATAGCTCACCTACAGGCAAGGGCATCCATCCCAGCTTGCGCCATCCAGTCTTGCAGACCAATCTACGGGCACTGCCCTCGACGCGAACTCACGTGTTATCAATTTCAATCCAGGTAAGAAATACACAATGTACATGTCGATATTTCTTCTCACAGAAATCAGAGATACCCCAGACAGCAGCACATCTATATTTACAACCATCTCCTCACTCAGCTGATGGATCAACATATTTTCTGTCATTGGGTGATTCTCCAAAGCTCCAGATCAGCCTTCTTCAGAGCGAGCCACCACACCGAACAATCAATATATCAATCACACACCTCATGAGTTTCCTGCAAGGTCTTCAAGACCTCACGAATTTGCCCAGCACAATCAACCTGCTCCAACAATATGAAAACAGCTGCCCTAATGTGCAGCTAAAGGTCCCTCTCTATGACGCGTTTCCCTCCATTGAAATCAAAGTGACCAGAGATTTGGGGTCAACGGTGTTGCTGATCTTCACGTGGGATATCGCTAATGACCTGTTGTATTCACTTGGGACTAGAATGGCGAATGTAACGGACTGAAAGTGGATCCAGTAGTAAAAACTTTTCTTCTGGCCCAAGAACAAGAAGAATTGTACCAGATAGCCCATCAGTCCTTGTATACCGTGCGGGCTTTCCAATCACTCTGATAACACCGCCTCCATTTGTATTTTCGACCAGGATCCCACAGACAGCTCGATCGACAGAAGTGACAACAGAAACTGGTGTCCAGCTCGCATCGATGGATATGTTATTAGGCTGGATGGTGTCAAACTTATTTCCAATAATACTGCAAGCTTCAGGCGCCCTTACCAAATTATTCTTCTCTCTTAATTGAGTTCTAGCTATCTCCAGGATAGAATCATCGTCTATGAGATGGCTCACGTCGAGCCCTTTAACTTCCTTTTCTTCATTGTCCATCTTGGAGACCTGCTCAGTCCTTGAGAAGGCCAATGTGGGGTTTCAGCGAGGAATCAATGTCGAGGCTTGGAGGCAATTCGGATTGAAGGCAGGCGCATCCCTTGAAGCTGATATGAGGGTGCAGGAAAGAAAACCCCAAAAAAAAAATGGGACGGCGGGAGGATGGTGGCTTTTATCCTAACTGGGAATTAGAAATTCCCTGTCTCCACCTCGAGGTCATTTCCCTCAGAATCCAACGTAACTTTCACTTGGAACTCACCCACGAACCACGTTTGTTCCACCGGAGGACTGTTGCCTCGTTGATGCAAGTTCTTGGGCACCAGTGCGTCGAAATACGTCCACGTCCTATTTTCTTTGTCTAGCATCTGACGTCAGAGCCACGTCTACCAGATTGAAAACCGCACGCTCACCTAGGAGGGCACTAGACTTGCCTCATCGACCGAATAGAGGTAGTTCGGTTGTTTTGATGATACAATACAACTCCCTGGGATGAGGGAGGAGATGGCGAGCCGGGACTGAAATTGGGTATCAATTGTCTCGTGGTGTGTCCGCGGGGTTGCCTCAGAGCCCAACGCCGTTAATCAGCTGATTCATGACTAAGCCAATGTCGTCACCCATCACCTGGTCTCCCCTGTTTCTGATTGGCCATCTGGTCCTACAGATGCAAGAAAAGGAACAAAGTGTGGTGTCGCCGTTGGGTCCCATTATGACTTTTACACAGAAAATAGCAATTTGAGATGGCTTCTTCATTCCTCTTCCAGGAACCTCGGAGTAGTGTCTCCCCCGATACGTACGCGTTGTGCATCTGGACGCTCACAACACTCGCGCCTCTGATAGTTGAACACGAAAGCATTCCGACTCGGAACTGAAACTTCAAGGAAGTGGATAGAACAGCACAAAAATGTTGCTTGGGAATTAGGGAACCCCCTCGCTCAGATTTTCTGGCATAGGGTCATCATATAGGTCACTCCACTCCGTTCATAAACTATCATTTCGAGCCAGATAAATCTGTATTTCATACTATGTAGGGAGTAACGTCGCTATTTACAGGCTCTTCCTAGCTGTTTCCTGAAGTTCATTCATAACTCTCTCCGCTTCAGCATCCTGGTCTTCGGCGAGTTTGTCAAAGCGAGCTGTAGCCGATTTGACATGCGTGCCTCGCGCTTGTTTCTTCAACCATTCTCGCAGACCTGTGTTCTTAGCTTGCGAATTGACTTGCAGAACAATGTTCAGGTATCGGTTGTCGATCAGTTCACCCGCATCAAGACGCAGCTAGTAATCTGCATCATTTTTGTTCGTCTGCGATGGAAGGATACGACTGCCGGGGTGGAGGTTCCGCCAAACTTTTTGGCAACGTCAAAGTTCTTTCTGGTTTTCGTGAAAAAAAATCCTTGATTTGCTTCATTACGGACTTATTCCGAGAGGGCTATCGATAGAAAGCATACATCGCAAATCAAGTACCACTGAAATACCACTGAAATTAGGATGTTCCTTGGGTCAGAATGATAATATATAGCGCAAACAGATAGTAGTTGGGCGAGACCTTTAAAATCTGATGTTGTTGATATTTTTTTTAAAAAAAAACAGACACTTGGAGAGCAGCCTTTATTTACATGATCAACCAATTCTTCTCACATTGCCTTGGGCTTCAACTCAAGGCAGCCTGAGTGCACCTGCGTGCCGATCGCAAGGGTAAGGACAGCACGGCTCCAATCAACTGCTTTGAGAAGCGGAGTTACGATTTCCTAGCCGCCAGTCACTGTACTTGAAACACGGAAAGAAGATACACGCCCAAAAATCCAAACTTGTTTATGGATAATTGGTATGCAGATTGAATTGCACCGAGTCGGTGCCAAATCAAAAGCGGTAAGGTGTGAGCGGCAATGCAGATAATTTAATTGGTGAATGCCAAGACGTCAAAACAATCGGCCGCATTAAGGGCCAAGGGGGCGCTTCAGACCTCCAATCTCGAACTCCCCTGCAGCTGACAATCTGGGAAAAGGAGACCAGCAGTCTGATATGCTCCGAGTCTGGCGGCGGTTGGGAGTCCCTTCGTCAATCATTCAGCATTGTCCATTCCGTTGCCCATCTCGAACATTATCCGACATGGGAAACAAGAGCAGCGCCCCTTCGCCACATACCTGGCTCGACCGCACATCCCAAGGAACAGATTTCGCAAGAACTGACTCGTCGTTAGTAGCATACACTTACCGGCATTGACCGACGAGTTAATATGTCACTGGCTTTGCATTGTAGGACATGATCCGCATTCGTATACTGGTGGAAGATGGCTCAACCGGGACGAGCTCGAGCGAAACTCTCGCCACATTATGTTTGACTTCTCATCGCTGTGTGAACGGGCTGTTTACACATGTCCAGGAGCCACCAGCGTTGTCAAATATGAGAAGCGAGAAGGTGGATCAACAGAGTCTTCCTTTTAACAATGGACAATGGACCTTGTGTTGTGGCAAGGGTACCTACCGGTATTGCTGGCCCGCCAAGGCTAACGACCAACTCTGAAGTTGCAACGATAACTTATTGTAAGTCTAAGCCGCATCCCCTGTCCTTGAGGGTATCGCTGACATGCTCACTAATTTATGTCTGTATAGTACAATCCAAGATCTCACTTCCGATACCGAAAATTCTCGACTGGAATGATAGTCCTTCCAATCCAACTGGAACAGAATATATTATCCAGGAGCATGTGGCGGGTGTTCAATTACATCAAGAGTGGCACAAAATGAACCCGGAACAACATATGCTGTGCACCAAAGCGCTTTCATTGACAATGAAAAAGATGGCTTCCCTAGACTTCCCGGCCTATGGCAGTCTATACTTCTCAGATGCACCTCTAGACTCGGACTCAAAGATTCCCTTCGAGCAGGGCTTCTGTGTGGGACCACATTGCAGTCCGGTTTTCTGGAACCGAAATCCGGGGGAATATGAACTCTGCCGTGGCCCAAGTCCCAATTGCGGACCTTGGAGAGATCTCACAAATTATTGTCGAGGTTTGATAGATACCGGTTTCTCTCGTTTGCCCAAAGAAGCCGTCAATAGTCGCAAGCTTCTGCCATATCAAGGATCAACCCAAGATCACATACGTCTATTGAAAACAAGTCGAGACGTGCTGCAAAAGTTGATTGAAGATAAACGCATTGAGGACGCTGCTACACCAGTTCTGCTTCACCCGGATTTTCACAAAAGAAATATCTACGTCTCTGCCGAAGAACCAACCGTTATTACTGGCCTGATAGATTGGCAATCAACCAGCATTGAGCCCGCGTTTATTTATGCCAACGAGACACCTGATTTCGCTGCACTTCCAAGAGTCCCCGAGGAAGATCCACTCGAGAACGAACAAAATGAAACGGAAATTTCTGGACCAAAGGTACGAGAATTAAAAGATGCATCCATCTGTTATCAGACATATGATGTGGTCATGAGTCATGACAGCCCTTGTTCCTAAGCTTCGTCCTGCAAGATTACTTGATCCGACTCTTTTTCGACTCTTCCACTACTCTTACACAACTTGGAGAGACTCCGCTGTCGCTGTCCGCCAAGAGTTAATTGAGCTTTCAGCTCGCTGGGCGGAATTGGGGCTAGAGGGCACATGTCCATATTCTCCCACGGAAGCGGAATTGAAACAGCATGCTCGAGACTATGAAGATTTTGAGGCTGTTCAAGCACTTAAGTCTTGGTTAAGAGACAACCGTGATACAAACTCTGATGGGTGGATCCCGAATGATGCATGGGACGCTGCGAGGGTTGCTCATCGCACAGCGTATAATGAATGGATACAGACTGCCAAAGAAGCCGAGTCCCGTGGCGAAGACATGACAATAGCAAAGGCGGACAAGATGTGGCCATTTGATGCTAGGTAGAAACCAGGGATAGGTAATCAAAAAGTCAGCTGGTCACTGTCTCTAGTGTCTAGTTTAAATTCACCCCTCAGTTGGTTGGCAATTCCCCTGGTCAGTCATAAGCACCTGTAGGCAACAAACCAAGAATAATGCAAACAGATAAAATCACGGACCGGAAAAACCTCTCTCCGAGGTTTCTTTTATAACCCAGTCCAGCTTGAAGGGTTTCTATGTTTGCAATAATCCGACATTTACTATCACCCCATCGTCATCTACCTTACTGAAATGGAACTATTCATGCGCCCAATAGCCGATGTATCTTTATTCATAATCTGCAGAATACCATATACTGACATCCCACGTCAAGCCACAAAGTCGTGAGCCTGATGGATCTTTTCCACTGGATGGAAAGGATCTTAATTCTGTCACAGATGAGGCTCTGGTGATCTTTCTCACAACGGCTTCTATTCTCCATCAGCTAGGTGGAACGACGGTTGTGCGGCTTTCAGAGACTTTGATCATGAAGGGTGGCGGCAGTGTCATGGCTAGTGAAGCGCAAATGCTTCGTCTTATCGCTTCCAGAACCATTATTCGAGCCCCACGAGTCTATCGCTCATTCCAGGTAAAAGATGATACACATACACAATATTTTGGCACATCTGGGTATATTGTCATGGATTTTATCCCAGGCCAACCGCTGGATGAGTGCTGGAACACCCTATCCCGTGACACCCAAAGGAAAATCGCTGCGCAGGTTGCTGAAATGATACAAGAGATGCAGCCCATTGAGCTTTTAAAGCCCGGCCCCATTCGTGGAGGACCATATCCTAAGTGAACCGGCTGGTGAACACACTGATCACTTCGTTTTTGGCTGCCCATAGTGTTCTTTTCATGCGCATGCTGAGTGAGCAGTTTGATGCTCGGTCAAACTTCTTCCTTGTGAATCTTCGCCAGGGGGCTAGCCGGTTAGGCCGAGGGGCACAGCAAGGCATTTTCATCACGTGCTGCAATATCGCTGCGATTTTCCAGTATGGGGATGAAAATGGAGCTTTTGCTACGGATTTTGCTGGCGACCCAAGTACTTCCACTGCAGACGCCTATGTCAATGCCAAGCAGTGGGCATCTACAACAGCACCTATCGACTTAAACAGATATCCCTACACCGACTTCTCATCTCAATTTGCATTCCTTGCAAGCTCTCTCGCTTTCCACACCCTGATCGTCATCCTTGGCCAAGCCAGCGAGTCAACTATGCACCCGGCCGTGCATGCCTCTTTGAAATTCCTGTGGTGCCTCTCGCTCCATCCAGCAGCCATTCAACGACTCGAGCCGCTAGTTCCATGGTTGATACTCGCAAATTATCTGAATACTTTGCTTCAACCCAACATCGATATTACAAAAATCGAAGCCGAATCATTTCCCCACATAGATGGCACACCCACCAAGCAATTGCCGGAAGACTTGCTGATTAGAGGACACATCTGGAGCCGGCTGTATTACCCTGCGAAATTCTTCGATCAGATGGGTGTAGACATTGACAGACCATTGATTGAGGAGCCGTGGACGATGCTTCCGAGAAGGCATAGGTGCCTGTGGCTTGGAGTGCGGATTGCAACTGTTTGTCTTACCTAGAGATTTGTATAGTACATTGTTTGCGACCATATCTTGGCATTTAGCTTTCTCGCTGGATGAGGTATGACCGGACCCGACACTTTACGCCTACCCTACTTGCCCATCGATTTGCGGCAGTTGCTCAATCTACTGACCACTTGAGTGGGAATCCATACTTGAGCCCAGGCCTCTAGAGCAGAAAATGGGGAGCTTCGAATAGGCAGGCACGGGTGCCTGTCCTAATTGAGGCGTATTGAGACCATTCATTCGTTTAGTCACCGTTATTGGTCCTGCATTGATAGCACCTAGGAAGTGCGAGGTTCTAAAAGCTAGCCAAGATACACAGAAAAGAATACCTCGGAATTCCAACTAGATGCGCTTAAGAGTCAGGGCCGGATTTTTCTTCCTTGTTGAATTATCATTTTGTGGATTTGCCGCTCCATGTACATAATCCGTGCCAGACTTAGGAGTCAGAAAGTGACGTTGGAAGCACCCAATTTGTGCTAAATTTTATGGACAGGGAGTTTCAGAACGGCGTGATTGCGTCTAGCCCAGTTGAGCCTGCAAAGCTCCTGAGGTCGCAGATACTGCGGTAACTCGATATACTACTAACTAATATGAACTAGTAGTGGCATGGTTCCTTTTTAGCTTGAACGTATCTAGAGTCAGTAATTCTCCTTCGTCATGCTCGGTAATTCTCTACAGATAGCAGGGCTTTTATCTCAGACGCCGTCTCATTACTGCCTCCAGAAATCAGGGAAACTAAATCCACTAACTAGGCTTGATGCGTTTGATATCAATTTCCTTGGGCTTGATGTCCTTCACGGCTGAAGTCTGGGAAAGGGGAGATTTTCTTTGCTTACGCACATTTTCCGTCTCTGTCTGTATACAGTAAACAGCAAATAGATATCCATAACTGTACCCAACTACGAACATGGACATCTCATCGTCATTATCAATAATCGGTCACGCTCCTGTTGACCGTTGCATCGGTACTAGGAATTCATCTCTTAGCCCTAGGAGTCATCTTATTCCCAGGGGCTCTTGAAACATTTCTGGAAGTAAAGAAGCAGCTTCTAGGAGCCACGTAGCCCCAGGAAACCCGATGTAGCTTCTGGAGACTGGTATCACCACCTCGGGGAATCAAAGCCGCGTTCCTGTTGACGACTGGTTGATTCCTGGGGCAATGATTTGGCCTTCTAGGAGTGACCGAACGACGCAGAATTGTGCGCAGGTCCGGTGAAGGTTTTTTGTGAGTGCTGTCGGCGATCTCGGAAGGCAACATAGTGACTCTAGGACCCTAAAGTAAGCTCCCAGGGGCTCCACAGCTCCCAGGTCAAGCCAATGTATTCCCAGAGCGAGTTTCGTATTCAGTCAGGAACGTAAAGTGAAGATGCCGGGGGTAGACCTCGCTTTCCTAGAAATAGAAATAGCCCCAGGATCTCAAGAGTATTTCCTAGGGGATAAACAGCCCCTAGGAATGCTTTTTGAGGTTCCCAGGGCCAACATATTGGTGCCCAGAGTAAGTTAACAAGCACGAGAGTTTGTCAGTCTTTTGCCTGTGGCTTTTCTGCCAACAATCCCCGCCTTCACGCGACACGGCTCCACTGAGACGAATCCTTCTCTGTTTCTTTGGTCACCGCCGTTAGGTATCATGAAAACAGAACTTTTATCTACCACTACAGTTTCGAGCTCAGACATTTTCGGAATCAGCGAAGCAGTCAATAGCTACTGGCTATGGTGTATTGGTGTCCAGCACTTACGAGATGAAACGGTCGCGTTGTACTTCGGAGTTTAACCATCGGTATTTCATTTCTTGCTAATTTGCTTCAAAATTGTATATCACGGCTATAACGGCTATAACCTCTGTTGCCGATCACGATGCCGAGTGTCTGGTCACGTGTACTCGCGTGTGAGTCACTCGCTTTTCGCATTTTCCGTCAAACTCGGCTGTAACCTGTGATCACCTACGCTGAGTGGAATTGAGTCGTGCCGATCGGCGAAGCGGTGCAGCGGTGGAAGGTTGTCGCGGTAGATGAGTTCCTGCTAGTCTGGCTGAGCGACGGGGCCCACCAGTGGGAGATGGATCGCTTGCCGTGTGGACGGAATATGTCTCGGCATCCGACGAGGGGATTCGTAAGGGGCGAATGATGGCATCTAGGGCTCCTTCGTTTCGGCTGCGGTCATCAGTGTCTTGGTCGTCTCAGAAATAAGGTCGTTCACACTTACCACACACAGCATGACGTGCCAAACCCTGTATCTCGCTTTTCCAACCATTCTTCGGCGCACGACAGATGACAGAGCGATGTGCACTGACCGCAGTGCAAGATCACGCTCTCGTCCTCATGGTCTTCATCCTCGGTCTGGCAGAACACACAGTAGATGCTGTCGACGTGGACGCTGTCGACCTCTTCACTCGAGGTGAGACTCTGGAGCGTCAATTCTTGGAAACCAGCCCGGATATTAGTTGCCGATGAGAGGATGGCTGGTCGGGTCGGCGAAACGCGCCATGGAACACTGTTCGTCCGCAGCATTGCAGAAGTCACAAATGGATTGAATGGCTGCACTGGCTCGTGGTTGGTTGACAGGGGCACCGGTGGTGGTGATGACCGGGTGTTGTCTGATGCAGGGCGTCGCCTGGAGGCTGACGATGTCTGACGCTGGCCCCGATGTACAATGACTGATGGAGAGGCCCTTCTGGAGCCATGTGGTACTCGCGCCTGGTTGCGGACGGCGGCTTCATACCACTGCTGGCCAACTTGGTCGGCCTGCCTTTGCCGGTGCCATCTCGCGCAGAGGAAGTCTCTGGCGACATCACAGAGCTTGGACTGCAACGATGACAAGTCAAATGGCTCTCTGGCGAGAGTGGTCAACTTTTGATGGCCGATCTTGGTGTCTTCAACTTTGATCGAGTTTTTGCACGGCTCGCCTTTTTTCGTCATGCCGCAACAGGAGCCAGGACCGCCATTGGGGCTGACCTCTATCTCACAAACAAGAAACGGATTCCAAGGCAGCATGGTAGTTATTAAGGTGGTCGTCAAAGGCAGAAAATGCTCCGGATTGTGGTGGTGTTGGGCAATCCACTGCGGCGTTCCCTCGCCAGCTTTATATGCCATCGCCGTGGGCTCCTTACCTACATGGCTGCGTGGCTGGCACGGGACACTTCCTTGAAACAGTCGGTACGTCGAAGAATGCATTCACACGCAGTATGCGCCGTATACAGCCGATCAGTGGCCTGCATGAATGGATATCATTCCAGACCACTGCTGCAATCAGCTGCACATTTGACTATCCATCGCCGGGACCATACATTGGCAAACAGATTGGCTACTGCGGTAGGCAGCGAAGTCGACAAATGCTGCGTTAGATTCTGGGTTGCCTATGGATTTCGAAGTGCGTGATAGGTTGTGATTTGTTCTTATGGCGCTAGGTGCAAGATGTGGATACGTAGAGATAGATTCGGTTCCCAGGCCATCGACACACTACCAGGAACAGTTTTGGCGTTCCCAGGAGCTAGACTCCAGATATTCTACAGCTCCGCCTGAGCATTGTTGTCAACTCCTTGTGATTGCTACGCACCTTTCAGCGAAGTGACAGACTAGACTCCTAGCTGACCACGGAATTTAGCTGAGGTGAGTATATAAAGGCCTCCGATATCCTACTTTCACAACTCTCACCTCACCCCCATCTACATTTCGTTAGCTCAATCCGCTGTCCCATCATGGTCTGTTCAATTCGTTCTTACGGAGTTTACCGATGAGCTAATACATTACAGCCAAACATCAGAGACCTGCCCAACGAGCTTTTGCTGTGGATTGTGTCGTTTTTGGACGGTAGTGCATTATTTGCCCTCGCAAAATCATGCAAAGACTTTGATTTTAAACTGCAGCCCAGCATCTGGAAATACAACATCAAATTTCAGAACAGCAATCTTTTGCACTAGGCCGTCAAATACGACAACATTGGTCTTGCGGAGGCTTTGCTCCAGCGCAACGCCAACATCAATGCATTTTACCGAGGCAAAACTCCTTTAATGAGGGCGCTCAAATACTCTTCCGCTGCTGTGCGGGACCTCTTGCTCAGTCGTGGAGACCTAGGCGTCAACGTTCAAAATCAAGCGCGGGAGAGCGCCCTGTGGTATGCCATCCACTACGGAACTTTTTCCACCGTCAAGCGCGTTCTAGAACAACCCAACGTCCAGGTGGACGTCAAGCACAAACACGG